AGTGGTTCCAGATCAAGATCTCGTAGTGGCTCTCGTCGTCGTTCGAGATCAGTTAGTCGTCGCTCACGTTCAGGCTCTGCAGCTTCTAGATCAAGATCACGCTCTCGCAGTGGTTCCAGATCATCGAGATCACGGTCTCGTTCTCGTAGTAAATCCGGTAGTAGATCTCGTTCTCGCTCAGTCTCTAGATCAAGATCACGATCGAAATCCAGATCAAGATCTCGATCACGTAGTGGTTCTATATCACCTACTTCCAAAGCTAAAAAAGCACACAAACGTAACGTTCTAAGTGATTCAGAGGGTAAGTAAATTAAAATTTTTTTACAAAAATACAAAATTTAAAATAATTATATTTCTATTCCAGGAGAAGATGATCCATCATCGGCCCAAAAGAAGCGACCAAAAATTACGGATACCGATAATGAAGACGATGACGAGGATAAGGCGGTAAATGAAGAGGAAGGAGGTGCTCAGGCCGAGAGTAAAAAAGTAGTAGACAGTTCAGATGATGAGAATATACCCATAGACAGTGACAGAGGGTAAGATGATATTGTGCATAAATAAGAATTAAATTAAATCACTCTTGTAATTTTTTATTTTTTCGTTTTAGAAACGACAATTTTGTTTCCGATTTTGATGCCATGTTAATGCGTAAGAGGGAAGAAAAGCGTTTCAAGCGTCGCAAGCGTGATATTGATTTAATTAACGACAATGATGATCTTATAGATCAGTTAATAATGAATATGAAAAGTGCTTCTGATGAAGATCGTCAATTGAATGTAGAAGGAAAACCGGCCACAAAGAAAATTGCTATTCTAAAACAATGTATGTCACAGTTGATTAAGAAAGATTTACAATTGGCCTTTTTGGAACACAATATACTCAATGTACTAACAGATTGGTTGGCACCATTACCCAACAAAAGTTTACCCTGCTTGCAGATCAGAGAAAGTATTCTAAAATTATTAGCAGATGTGAGTATTTAACTAAGTAAACGTTTTAATTAAGTTCTAATTAATTTCTTCGCTGTTCATTTCAGTTTCCTCCCATTGACAAAAGTTACCTTAAACAATCTGGCATTGGAAAAGCTGTTATGTACTTGTATAAACATCCTAAGGAAACTAAACAAAATCGTGATAGAGCTGGCCGTATTATCTCGGAATGGGCTCGTCCTATTTTCAATTTAAGTTGTGATTTCAAGGCCATGTCCAAGGAGGAACGACAGGAAAGAGACATGCGTCAAATACAAAATACCCGTAAGAAAACACCTGAACCAGAACCAACAACATCCAAGAAACGTAAAGGTTTACATTCTGCCCTCACCACCAGCGAAGAGAAACCTTTAGGTCCTGGTGATCCTGGTTGGGTGGCACGTGCCCGTGTACCATTGCCTTCAAACAAGGATTATTTGGTTAGACCCAAGTCGACGGTAGAGGGTACGGTATCAGGACCACAGAAACGTAAACCGAATCGTTTCGAAAAGCATATGAAAAAGTTCCTCGATCAAAAAAGACTTAAGGGTGGTTCACGCAGAGCTGTGGAGATTTCTATAGAGGGCCGTAAGATGGCTTTATAAATGCATATAGTATGGGGAATACTTATTTAATAGAAATTATCATCAATTTATGTCCAAATTAGAATTTATAAGTTTTTTTTTCTTCTTTTTTTTTTTTTTTGCTACCTAATTTCAATGATTTCATTTAACATTTTGTTTAATGTAATTTTTTTAAATATATTTAAAAAAGTATCCCATTTCCTTTATTTATAAATATTAGTAAATACATGCAGCCGTATTAGTGAACGTGTCAGTATGTTACTTCAGCAATGAAATCATTTACTCTTTGTAAGATTGGATTATAGCCCCAACATATAAATTTGCAAGAAGTATGTGCAGGACCGATTTCCATATGGCTGCTAAATAAAAATATATAAAATTAAAACCACTGGCTCAATGTTTTAATTTTCATTCCACAAGGTAGTGTAAAAAGAAATAACAAGAAAAAAGGTTCCCTGGTCTTTATGTCATAAGTAAGGAGAAATGAAAAGAAAAAAGGAGCCCAGGATTGAATTTATTTTACGAGTTATTTTTATTTTAGTATTAGAGTCTCCTATAACTATCTACGCAGAAGAGTGAGTGCGATAAATCTAGAATGCGACATCTTTTATGGGGACATGCCGCGACTTACTGCTGTTGAATTAAATATGTACTTGAATTCTAATTTTTATGAATCTTTCGCTACGATGTAACTAACAATTTGCATTCTGAATTGTATTTAATCATTAAGAAAATTATGGCGAAGTTAATTTATGAATCCATTATTTTATATTAGTAATATTTCCAATACGTATGTATATTTCATTTCAAGCTTAAAATTAAAAGCAAACGCTTACAGAAAATAAATTAATCAATACAATGCGGTAACGGAGGTAAATGCGGCAAAACGTCGAAAAGAAAATTCATTTACAATATTTGCAAATCACGGCTTCAATATTCTTCAAATTTACAGCATTTACCAATGAACCTTTCCATTTTATAACTTTCGAACTATCAACCTTCAATAGATCCAACCTTAACGAAAACACGACAGTTTAAGTTATGAGTAGTTGGTTCCTTCTTTTCGGGAGTATTAGTAACGGTATTGACATAAGTGTAGAGCAAATTAAAGCCAACATAAACATCCTCTCCTGGTTTCAAATCAGCATCGGGAGTAAATTGTAAACGTAGTAATACCTTATTGGATTTGCGCCAAACAATAAATCTGCAAACACAAATTTAATAAAAATAATATAAATTTATTAAAATAAAATGCCATCAACTCACTTAGGTTCCTCCTTTTGTGCTGACTGAGGTTCCTCATCGAATTCCTTGGAGTCATCACGTAAATTTAAAGTAAATTCAGTTTCCAAAGGTAGTAGTTTGGAATTAACTTTTTGTTTCACCACTCGGGGCTCTTCATGTATAGAAGTTTGCCTTACCAGAGAAGTATTAGTTAAACTATTGGTACCAGTTAAGCTAGGAGAACCAGTTAAAGATTTCAAAGAATCCATAGCGGTAGCAGCAGTTAATGAAGAGTCCTTCAATGTGCAAGAACGTTTAAACTCTTCAATTAATTGTAATTCCTCCTCTAAGGAAGGTAATTCCAAGATTTTTATAATCATATCATGCATAGTTGGATTACTTAGTTTCAGAGTAAATGAATTCAATTGTCCGGCTTTAAGCGGTTCATCACAACTGACCAGCAAAACATCGGGCACATGATAACTAGCAAACAGTTGTATGCGATATTTAACCGAAGTAGGATGATATTCCGGTTTAATAACATTATGTTCACACTGACGACAGCGTAAAGAACGTTTAATCCACATGCAACGACGTTGCGGATAAAGTTTATTAATAGTAAAGGGTTGCTCACAAGGTTGATTGTGACGTTGCTTAACCGTGGTAACTGTTCGAAAGAAATTTTAGTTAAACAAAAGGTTTTTTGTCTTTAATTTTTATTTACTTACTATTGCGCAAATTAATTTTCTGCGTAAAAATACTTTCCGGTAATTCTCCCACATCAGCACTTTCTATTGATGGTGCTATATTGACTGGTTTAGCTTTTTGTGTATTCTTATCGGACCAGCCCATTTGTCGTCGTATTATGGATACAGTTAAGCCAGTACGATCGGTAAGACTGGGAAATTTGTGGGCCTTAGGAGCTTTACGTCTTAAGTACTCTTGCCGTTCTTGTTTATCCTGTTGCACCACAGCTTGATAGTATTCGGCCAAAGCATTGAAACGTGTTTGGTAAGCACATTCGTTGTCAGGCCAGGCGCCAGTAGCTGGAAAATATTAAATTAATTTTTTCATTTTTTAGAAAAATTTTATAAAATGTCTTTTTATAGAAAATTTTCATAAAACTTTCCTTTTTGTAGAAAATGTTCGAAAAAATTGGTTTCCTTTATAGAAAAATGCTACCTACCTACAGATTGATCGGGTATACCAACATCTCTTGAAGTCCAACGACATGCCAAACAAGATAAATAATACATTTTCTTGGTAATAACCTTAGAAGCATCCGGCTTAGCCTCCTCACCTTCCTTGGCCTCATCTGGCTTTCTAAGAAAATTATAAGGCAAACACACAAATAATAATATTTTTTATATTCTAATTAAGTAAACTACAACATATTCTAATTAAGTAAACTACAACATCCAACTCACTTCTGTACAATCACAGTGGTGGCACGAGCCGACAGAGTATGTTGACAGCAAGGACAATCAAAACAATTGGCACAACAATTTTTCTTGTGACGCACCTCCGATGAGGGTATGTTCTCCAAACAATTCGAACAGAAATGTGAGTCAACCTTAAAAGGCAATGGCAATAGAAATTAAAAAAAACAGTTTTGTTTAACCAGTTAATTATTACTCACTTCGTGGCAGACACAGAAACCACACCTCAGCTTGGGACAGTGGCGACAAAAGAACAGCTTACTTATGGGATTCAATATGCCGCAGGAGCAGGCATATTTTACCACGCTATCTTGCATAAAGTTGGCCATTTCTTAGGAAATTTAAATGTTTTATTTTAAATTATAACAAATGCAAAAATTTGCAATTTTTCTTATTTGTTGTTGGACTAATGACATCAATCCACTGAACAGCTGTCAGAAGTATCATTTTTGAACTTGGCATTACTTTTATTTAGTAATATCATTGTTGTGATTTCAAAGAAAATTTTATTTAATGTTAACATTGCTGTAAGAGATGCTTTCACATCTCTTTTAATGTTTCTATTGTTTTTTATTTGTTTTTCATTCACTTTTTACTTTTATAATGTAATCTTGTCATGAAAGTCAAAAATACTAAATATTTTTGTGTTTTTCATTTATATGTTCAAAAATATGTACTGACTGTCATTTTTGCTTGTCTGAAAAGTATAAAGTTGACTACACTTTTTTCACCATATTGTTGTGTTACCTTTTTCCCAGTATTTTTTGTTGACAGGTAAAAACACTATTTTTTTGTCTTTCAAGTTTTAAAAAAATGCCGCTTGATTTTTTGAAAGGACTATCGGAATTTTTCACTTAAATGACCACAAAATATAACAATTCTACAAGAAAAATAATAAAATATAAAACATAGTGTATTTATTTAAACAATTTACTTGAAAATGAGTGATTTTAACTGTGCTAATTTAATAGATTTAAGTTTAGAAGATGATGACAGTCCCTGCAACATTCCAGCACCAATTAAGACTGAATTTGAACCACAACCGTCCGCGCCTTCATTGGAGGGTCCACCACCTTTTATACCGAACAATTGGCGCAAAAGTTTAGATAATAATCCTTTTGATTGTGTACAAAAATTGGCTCATCGCATAGATGATCCTTTTGATATCGTAGAAAAGGAGGCCTGTTGGAAGGCACAACAGGCGCTCAAACCTAAGCCAGAAGTAAAACTGGGCAACCTATTGTCTTTGAGTGATGATAATCTACTAGATGAGGAGCAAATGCCTGAAACTCCCCACTTATTGGCGGAAGAATTAAATAAATTTAAGCCCCCCGAATTAGAAGAAGAAAGTCCACCTATTATGTTGTTGGAAAAACAACCACCAGATAGTGTTAGTGGCCCCGATAGCGACTCTAATCCCAACAGTAGTGCAGAGACATCAGCCTCGGCAAAATTAAAGAAAAATATGGAATATCGCAAAAGATTATTAAAACTAAGCATTTCCAATGCTGCCTTTAGTTCACCAGTAGCACGTAAAGCTTCCTTGGAATTTGAGGATATATTGGGTACACCAGTTTCCTCCATGTTATCGCGGGCAGCAGAATTTGGCGAACATTTGTTGGCGTCAGAGTCTCCCTTAAAACTGGTGGAAGATGAAGATATAATGTCTCAAGAACCTCCCAACTTTATTGATTCAGAGAAAAATTTCGAGGCCGATTTGGAAATGTTAAAAATTCCCATATTAAATGAATTACCTTCACCAGTAGTAGAGCCAATTTCTACCAACACCACTCCCATTACACCTGATGTTGTTAAGAGTGCCAACACTTTAGAAAAGGCTCTACCCAATTTAGAAGCTATTAAAGCTAAATTGAAAGCTAAACGTGATGAAATCAATAATAACCAACAGCAGGAAATTTCCTCTCTTATACATAATCTCAAATCCTTAATAGCAAGTGGTGAAATGGTAGATAAGAATAAGAAACAACAGGCTAGTGAATTATTAGAATCTCTTAGTTCAGCCCTAAAACCTGCAGATGCAGAAGAAACCCTCAAACCGGTGGATATGTTAGGAGTACCACCACAACCTATTAAACGACAGGGTACTTTCGATCTTGAGCTGCAGGATAATGAAGAGAACGAATTTAATAATCGACCCTTGGTGCAGGACATGCCTAATTGTATGACTAGTTCTTCGGCCACTTATGATGGTGATAATCAGCCTCTGGTGCAAGAAATGCCCAATTGTATGATTAGCTCCTCGGCCACATATGATGGTGAATCTGCCGAAGACAAACAAGATTTAAATTTACCCGAAATTGCCCCCTTATCACCACAACCTTCAACTTCTGATTACAACTATGAAGATAATAATAACACAGCAAATGTTGGTCACAATATGCAACCTGATGTTAATGACATTATGGAACAATTGAGTAAACTTTTCATTAACAACTCTTCGGATAATCATCCCACAAATCACAATCCCACTTTTATTGTAGTCATGAATGCGAATCAATTGAATCATTCTCATATTAACAATTCCCAACAAAATATTGTGGATGCTAAACAACGATCTGCCCTAGTGGCTAGTTATTTGGAAAATTCCATTAATGATGGTTCACCGGACTTGACAAAAGTCAATCCTGTGGGTCGTCGTCGTTCTCAATCGCTCTCGATACATGACAAAGTGAAAATTGTTCAGTTGCCCCTACAGCCGCCTACACCACGCAGCATTCAGAAGCAGCAACGGGTACAAATGGACGATTCACCACCAGTCACGACTACACCACCTTCCGGAGACAAGGATACTCCGGAATTTAAGACCCCAGCTCGAATGATCAGACGTAACTCGTATTCCAGTGGTACACCGTATACAGCTCAAGTGGGTGTTAGACGTACAGGATTTGGGTAAGTAGTTTTTAAAGGGACAATAGAAAGGAAGATAGATAGATAGATAGATAGATAGATAGAATAGATAGATAGATAGATAGATAGATAGATAGATAGATAGATAGATAAATAGATAGATAGATAGATAGATAGATAGATAGATAGATAGATAGATAGATAGATAGATAGATAGATAGATAGATAGATAGATAGATAGATAGATAGATAGATAGATAGATAGATAGATAGATAGATAGATAGATAGATAGATAGATAGATAGATAGATAGATAGATAGATAGATAGATAGATAGATAGATAGATAGATAGATAGATAGATAGATAGATATATAGATAGATAGATAGATAGATAGATAGATAGATAGATAGATAGATAGATAGATAGATAGATAGATAGATAGATAGATAGATAGATAGATAGATAGATATATAGATAGATTTGGAATTTGTTCATATACGATGATCTTGCAAAAACAATATTTCCATATAACAAATATTCAAAATCTTTTGAATTTAATCACAACATTACTTTCTAATATCCCCTAGATCTGATAATAAAAATCCTACTAACATACGAAGAACCCAAACTTTGGATACTCATCACGAAGGTCAGCAACAGGCCATTGTTAGACCTATGTCTATGCCATCTAACAACTTGCCAACATTTAAACCGGATCTCAAGAAAAAACCTAAACACAATACAGAATCCATAATAAAATCTGGTCCCCTAAAGGCTACCATACCTGTAAAGAAAGTAGCGCCCATGTTAAAAACTTCACCTCCAACACCAGACAATAATAATGGCAAGTCTTCAACACTTCATAATTCATCTCTACAAAGTCTTTCGAAAGTTAGTAGAGTACCCACAACACCCATGTCAACAAAGGGTTCAGCATCTAGCTTGGGAGTGGGCTATCCAAATGCCTGTTCTACCCCAGCTGCATTTACTTCGCCATTAAAACGCACCACAGGACCAGTTAATAAACCACGTTATTCTTATATGTCTGCCACACCCAATCCAAAATCGTCGTCCTCCTCGAATTCGACTGCATCAGCGGGTTTAAAGAGACGTACTATAACGGAATTTAAAGCGAAGTCCCCATTAAAACCTCGTGTTAGCAGTGTTGGCCTAGCAGCGGCTGCTGCTACAGCAGCTTCATCTTCTAAAGTTTCAACTAGCAGCACACGTCTATCCACATCAGCGGGAGCTAAAATTTCTAAAACACCAGTTAAGCCGGCCCCAGCTAAGACAGCTACTGTGAAGCCGGTAAGTTTTGTTGTATTTTTTTAATGTAGATTTTTTTTTTAATGTTTTTCATTTCAGACAAGCCGTTTGAGTTCTCGCATATCCGTTGGTGGCTCTGCCTTATCGACCAGAAATAAGGAAAATAAACGTCCTTAATTTCATATATATTTTTTGTCTTATTTTAATAAGTATCCTAGATATAAATAGATTTACTGTTGACCCCTTATTTTGTTTTACTTTTTTCTTCATATTTTAGTTTTCCTGCTTAATTTGTTTTCAATAAAATTTTTATAAATTTCTTTTCGATCAGTATTAAAATAGAAAGAAATTTATTTAACATTTTCTATAAAAAGAAAGAATGGTTTGTTCAGATATTTTAGATTAATTTTTTACGTATAATTTCTTCTTCTAAACATTAATTACAACCCACTGTCTAACAGTTCATTCGATTTAAATTTTGTTATTGTCAATTTTCGGTCAATGTTGTTAAAACAAATACTGGGATAAATTTCCTTTTAACTACATAATAGAAAAAAACGCTAAATTTGTTTCACTGTTAAGCTCTCTCACAACAACAACCACCCAACAGCTGATTGGGTATAACAACAACAACAAAAATAATGGTAACAAAAAACTGCATACAGTTGTCAAAAATTGCCACAAACAATGGCTGATATCGAAAGTGAAGAGGTGAAGAACCTTGTAAGTGTTCAATTAAAATTTAAATTGTTAATATAAAAATCATAAAAAAATTAATTAAAATTACATAAATTAATGGAAAAGTTTGTAAACTTTATAAAGAATATGAAAAATAAGTAAAACTAATAAAGTTTAAGTGTTAAATTTATGTTTTAAAATTGGTGAAAAAATTGCAGACCCAATTTCAAGAAAAGAATGAAAAAAAAAACAACCAAACAAAAAATCAATATTTTGTATGGGAAAAAAACCGAACAAGTATAAGAACAACAACAACCACTACAAAAGAAAATGTATTTAGAACAAATACAACAACAAACACATATATTTCTTAATAAAGCTAGTAAAAAGGTAAAGACGGTCAGACCGTTGTAGATGATACCCTACAGCCATAATTTTGGGAAATTAGAATTATAGATTTATTAATGAAAAAGCTTTTTTCGGCAGCGGGCCTGATCTTCTTAGAATACCGGAATGAGATTTCAGGACGTATGAAAGTTATTTATGATTAATTTGGATCTGGATAACAACATGTTCAAGAGAATTTTGATAAATATGTATAGTGATTATCGAGAGATGGTTCTTAAGGTAGGCTATCTGAAAAATGATTCTAAGTGAATTGGTATGTTGTGGCTGAAGGACAAACATTTTGCAACCTACCCTCATAGCGGTGTAGGGTATCATAACACACACACTTTGGGGCCACTGTGTGAAAAATACCAATATTAAATTGAAATTGAAAAACAAATACAAAAACAAACTAATTTATTACTACCAGATTTACACAATGTGTTTGTTGATTGTTCCCAACAACAAGAAGAGCAAAAGTACTTATTGTTTAATTGAAATATTTATTAACTTTATTTAAAGAAAATATAAATTTTGCACAAAACCAGAATATACAAAAAAAAATCTGCTGTTTACAATTAATTTTTTATAAAAAAAAAAACATTTTAATTTCCAGCAAATTGAATTTGAATGGGTAATGAGGGATGAGGTACACTCTATACTCAGAAAGTTAAGGGAAATATTAGTGGTAAGTGTTGAACACTAATAACACCATAATGGTTAACAATAATCTTAAATGTATTTTTAATCTTACTAATAGGAATGTGCTCGCCGCTTCCCGGTACCCTTATACGATAATGAGGGCAAGCGTACAGAAAAATTCCATTTAGTAGCAGCCCAGGAACAATTAAAATGTTCGGTAACTTTGACGGGTGATAGTATAACACAAGCGGTAGGTGTTCTTGTTAAATTGTTAACACACTCTCTTTATCAAATAAATACATTTTACTTGTTTTATGTTTATTATATGCAGGACATCAGTTTCAAATTAAAACGTTCCTCTAGTCAAGTTCAACGTACTGCTATTACTTCAGATGCCCCCTGGAAATTGCAACAAGTACAAGACGCTGCCAATCATTTGCAACAGGCCATCAATCACATCGATAATGTCGATGAGAATTATAAATTTCGGTAAGTCTTTTATATATGTACCTACTACATATTCATTATTAATTGCTATGAATTATTTGGTATAATAAAACAAGTAAAGGTTATTTTTAAAAAATATTTGCTAAAACCTAAAGTAATATTGGTAAAATATTTAACAATTTTAAAACAAGATTAAACAAAAATTGTCTACAAATAAAAAAAAAAACGTAACGAACTTTTTCTGTTTATTGAAATGAGTGATAATCCGATCTAAAATAAAAAAGTTCTAGGTGAGTTCTACTTTAAATGTAATTCAGTTATAGTTCACTTCTAGTTCAGTTCTAGTGCAGTTCCACTTCAGTTCTTGTTTCGTTCTAGTTCAGTTCTAGTTCAGTTCAAGTTCAGTTCTTGTTCGGTTCTAGTTCAGTTCTAGTTCAGTTCTTGTTCAGTTCTAGTTCAGTTCTAGTTCAGTTCTAGTTCAGTTCTAGTTCAGTTCTAGTTCAGTTCTAGTTCAGTTCTAGTTCAGTTCTAGTTCAGTTCTAGTTCAGTTCTAGTTCAGTTCTAGTTCAGTTCTAGTTCAGTTCTAGTTCAGTTCTAGTTCAGTTCTAGTTCAGTTCTAGTTCAGTTCTAGTTCAGTTCTAGTTCAGTTCTAGTTCAGTTGTAGTTCAGTTCTAGTTCAGTTCTAGTTCAGTTCTAGTTCAGTTCTAGTTCAGTTCTAGTTCAGTTCTAGTTCAGTTCTAGTTCAGTTCTAGTTCAGTTCTAGTTCTGTTCTAGTTCTGTTCTAGTTCAGTTCTAGTTCAGTTCTAGTTCAGTTCTAGTTCAATTCTAGTTCAGTTCTAGTTCAGTTCTAGTTTAGTTCTAGTTCAGTTCTAGTTCAGTTCTAGTTCAGTTCAGTTCTAATTCATTGCTAATTAAGTTCTAGTTCAGTTTAAATTAAAATGCCAAAAACTTTATTAAATGTGATTCCTATATGAATCTTTTAATTGTTATTGAAATGAATCATAATTCCTTATAATGACAAGCATTAAAGTACGTGACAATAATGAAAAACATCTTACTAAATGTTTAAAATTCAAAGAATTCTATCTATCTATCTGTTATAAGTAAAGTACGTATTACTTAGCTAAAAACTCACTTTAAATTCGTATAACTCAAATTTTCACTATACAAGTGTCACAATCATTGTTTTGATCGGTACTTTTATAAATTCGAAAAAAATACAATGCATATGTTTGTTTTTATATAAAAAAGACTGCCATTGAAATATGTACAATGTACATTCTAGTATGTATCTAAGCTTATACCTAGATTATATATATTTTTTATTGTTACCTGAACAGAAAGCATGTATTGCATCTGAAAACTTAGCTTTTGATATTAGATGATTACATGGTTTAAAAATAAATTTCGTTAACGTACGTGCAATTATTCGGATTCACTAATTTATTATTAATGACTTGAATGTTAATGAAATACATATATACAGACAGCATCTTTAGTAAATAAAGTTTAAAAAAAAAAACATCTTAGTAATATATATATACCAATTATAATTAAAACTGATGTTTAATTCTTGAATTTTAAATAAATTTTTTATACTTGTATTCAATTCAACTGCATGTATAATACAAAAAAGGCACCAAACATTTTACATATGAAATTGTAAAGATAATATAACTTTGTAAAGAGATTTAAAACAAGAGATGTAAAATTTGTCAATACATAATGTATTCCATAGGAAAATGTTAGATGACTGGAGTTTTCGTTAGAAAATATAAAATTTGCAAAATTTCTATAAAAACATCATCAGCATTGAAAACTTTCTATAAGACAATCATCATCAATATTTAATATTTTTTTAAGAAACTCATCTACATACTTTGAAAGTGTTCTTTAGTTCAGTTCTAGTTCAGTTCTAGTTCAGTTCTTGTTCAGTTCTAGTTCAGTTCTAGTTCAGTTCTAGTTCAGTTCTAGTCAGTTCTAGTTCAGTTCTAGTTCAGTTCTAGTTCAGTTCTAGTTCAGTTCTAGTTCAGTTCTAGTTCAGTTCTAGTTCAGTTCTAGTTCAGTTCTAGTTCAGTTCTAGTTCAGTTCTAGTTCAGTTCTAGTTCAGTTCTAGTTCAGTTCTAGTTCAGTTCTAGTTCAGTTCTAGTTCAGTTCTAGTTCAGTTCTAGTTCAGTTCTAGTTCAGTTCTAGTTCAGTTCTAGTTCAGTTCTAGTTCAGTTCTAGTTCAGTTCTAGTTCAGTTCTAGTTCAGTTCTAGTTCAGTTCTAGTTCAGTTCTAGTTCAGTTCTAGTTCATTCTAGTTCAGTTCTAGTTCAGTTCTAGTTCAGTTCTAGTTCAGTTCTAGTTCAGTTCTAGTTCAGTTCTAGTTCAGTTCTAGTTCAGTTCTAGTTCAGTTCTAGTTCAGTTCTAGTTCAGTTCTAGTTCAGTTCTAGTTCAGTTCTAGTTCAGTTCTAGTTCAGTTCTAGTTCAGTTCTAGTTCAGTTCTAGTTCAGTTCTAGTTCAGTTCTAGTTCAGTTCTAGTTCAGTTCTAGTTCAGTTCTAGTTCAGTTCTAGTTCAGTTCTAGTTCAGTTCTAGTTCAGTTCTAGTTCAGTTCTAGTTCAGTTCTAGTTCAGTTCTAGTTCAGTTCTAGTTCAGTTCTAGTTCAGTTCAGTTCAGTTCTAGTTCTGTTATAGTTCAGTTCAAGTTCAGTTCTAGTTCAGTTCTAGTTCAGTTCTAGTTCAGTTCTAGTTCAGTTCTAGTTCAGTTCTAGTTCAGTTCTAGTTCAGTTCTAGTTCAGTTCTAGTTCAGTTCTAGTTCAGTTCTAGTTCAGTTCTAGTTCAGTTCTAGTTCAGTTCTAGTTCAGTTCTAGTTCAGTTCTAGTTCAATTCTAGTTCAGTTCTAGTTCAGTTCTAGTTCAGTTCTAGTTCAGTTCTAGTTCAGTTCTAGTTCAGTTCTAGTTCAGTTCTAGTTCAGTTCTAGTTCAGTTCTAGTTCAGTTCTAGTTTAGTTCTAGTTCAGTTCTAGTTCAGTTCTAGTTCAGTTCTAGTTCAGTTCTAGTTCAGTTCTAGTTCAGTTCTAGTTCAGTTCTAGTTCAGTTCTAGTTCAGTTCTAGTTCAGTTCTAGTTCAGTTCTAGTTCAGTTCTAGTTCAGTTCTAGTTCAGTTCTAGTTCAGTTCTAGTTCAGTTCTAGTTCAGTTCTAGTTCAGTTCTAGTTCAGTTCTAGTTCAGTTCTAGTTCAGTTCTAGTTCAGTTCTAGTTCAGTTCTAGTTCAGTTCCAGTTCAGTTCTAGTTCTGTTATAGTTCAGTTCAAGTTCAGTTCTAGTTCAGTTCTTGTTCACTTCTTGTTCAGTTCTTGTTCAGTTCTAGTTCAGCTCTAGTTCAGTTCTAGTTCAGTTCTAGTTCAGTTCTAGTTCAGTTCTAGTTCAGTTCTAGTTCAGTTCTAGTTCAGTTCTAGTTCAGTTCTAGTTCAGTTCTAGTTCAGTTCTAGTTCAGTTATAGTTCAGTTCTAGTTTAGTTCTAGTTCAGTTCTAGTTCAGTTCTAGTTCAGTTCTAGTTCAGTTCTAGTTCAGTTCTAGTTTAGTTCTAGTTCAGTTCTAGTTCAGTTCTAGTTCAGTTCTAGTTCAGTTCTAGTTCAGTTCTAGTTCAGTTCTAGTTCAGTTCTAGTTCAGTTCTAGTTCAGTTCTAGTTCAGTTCTAGTTCAGTTCTAGTTCAGTTCTAGTTCAGTTCTAGTTCAGTTCTAGTTCAGTTCTAGTTCAGTTCTAGTTCAGTTCTAGTTCAGTTCCAGTTCAGTTCTAGTTCTGTTATAGTTCAGTTCAAGTTCAGTTCTAGTTCAGTTCTTGTTCACTTCTTGTTCAGTTCTTGTTCAGTTCTAGTTCAGCTCTAGTTCAGTTCTAGTTCAGTTCTAGTTCAGTTCTAGTTCAGTTCTAGTTATGTTCTAGTTCAGTTCTAGTTCAGTTCTAGTTCAGTTCTAGTTCAGTTCTAGTTCAGTTTTAGTTCAGTTCTAGTTCTGTTCTAGTTCTGTTCAGTTCTAGTTCAGTTCTAGTTCAGTTCTAGTTCAGTTCTAGTTCAGTTCTAGTTCAGTTCTAGTTCAGTTCTAGTTTAGTTCTAGTTCAGTTCTAGTTCAGTTCTAGTTCAGTTCTAGTTCAGTTCTAGTTCAGTTCTAGTTCAGATCTAGTTCAGTTCTAGTTCAGTTCTAGTTCAGTTCTAGTTCAGTTCTAGTTCAGTTCTAGTTCAGTTCTAGTTCAGTTCTAGTTCAATTCTAGTTCAGTTTCTAGTTCAGTTCTAGTTCAGTTCTATTCTAGTTCAGTTCTAGTTCAGTTCTAGTTCAATTCTAGTTCAGTTCTAGTTCAGTTCTAGTTCAGTTCTAGTTCAGTTCTAGTTCAGTTCTAGTTCAGTTCTAGTTCTGTTCCAGTTCTGTTCTAGTTCAGTTCAGTTCTAGTTCAGTTCTAGTTCAGTTCTAGTTCAGTTCTAGTTCAGTTCTAGTTCAGTTCTAGTTCAGTTCTAGTTCAGATCTAGTTTAGTTCTAGTTCAGTTCTAGTTCAGTTCTAGTTCAGTTCTAGTTCTGTTCTAGTTCAGTTCTAGTTCAGTTCTAGTTCAGTTATAGTTCAGTTCAAGTTCAGTTCTAGTTCAGTTCTTGTTCACTTCTTGTTCAGTTCTTGTTCAGTTCTTGTTCAGTTCTAGTTCAGTTCTAGTTCAGTTCTTGTTCAGTTCTTGTTCAGTTCTTGTTCAGTTCTTGTTCAGTTCTTGTTCAGTTCTTGTTCAGTTCTCGTTCAGTTCTAGTTCAGTTATAGCTAAGATAGAGCCCAATTTATCTAAATTCTCAATACAATAATTTTCTTTAAAAATAGAATATTTATTAAAATTTATCTATAAAAATAAAATTGATCGAGCATTTTCTATAAAAGAGTTTAGAAATCAAAATTCTTCCATAAGAAAAATATAAATTGGCTTTAAAAAATAATTTAAATAATTTCAGATCATCCGAGGAAGTTTTACAAATAATCACCGAACTAATAGGAGCTTTACAACGTGGACGCACTAGTCTTATAATACCAAAGAAAAAATCTATAGATGATTTAATGAAAGGACGAAATATGGTAAGTACTTCTCAATTTTATTTTGATAGTATTCAGAAAATAAATTAATAAAAAAAAATAAAACAAAATATATAGAAATCTTTATCGCCCAATCTACCCGAAGATCAAGCAATATCATTTTTCTTACAATGTCATAAATTGATTATAGCAGTCTATCAATTGCTAAATGTTCAGGGTACTATGAAAATGGAGGCAACACAGGCCGAATGTTCGGTAGGTTGGCTTAATGATGTTTTAGTATTATTTACCGTTGGTTTGACTTTGTGTCAACAGCTTAAAGATAAAATGAATGCATTTAAAATGGATACCATAAGTTAGTAAAATTTATGTTTAAATGTTTTCACAAAATTACAAGAGAAAAATCCCCCATTTATTTCTGTTTATATAAATTTTATTTAGCAAATATATAAAAAAAAACTAAGCCAAGTTCATACATACATACATTTAGAAATATGTATGTATGTCACTAATTAATGTACTTATACTACAAACAACAACAAAAATAACTACAAACAGTATGTGAATGTATTAATTATTGTACTTAAGCTATTTAAACAAAAAAAAAAAAAAATAGTTATTAAGTTTATTAAGTTAAACGTGAACTTGAAATGGACAAGAGTCCAGTGAAGGACTCTACTTACTTACTTCATTTTAACTAAAACAAAAGCAATTTGTTTCTTTGTTTTTATTTTAGAAAACATAACAAAAATAATCCTAATTAAATAATTATAAAAAAATGCATTGCTAAAAAATGGTTAGTAACTAAAGTAAAATATTTAAAGAAATAAATTAAACAATGCATACAATAATGACAATAACATTTAAGCAAGATTATTTAAATAATAGTAGAAACCAAATAAATAACGTAAAGCTTATAAATTAAGTAAAAAGCTTTTATGTTTAATTGAAAACCCCCGCCCTCCGTTTCAAAAAATTCCAAATTTTAATGCTTTTAACCGTTAAATTTGAAGTTTATTAAACAGTATTTTTTTTAAAAACAAAGATCTCAACTTATTTGCTTTTGTTTATTTATTATAATACAAACCTGCCTACTTGCCAGTATATTATTTTCTTTAATTCTTTAAAAATCTTTTAAAAACGGCTCAATTTTTAAATTATGTGTCAATTTGAAAGTTTAACTAAAAAAAAAATCTTAAATTTATCTTTATTGTGTACTTTAGCGAATTTACAGTGTGACAAAAAAAGTTAAAATTTATTAAAATTTTTATTTTTTAAATAGTTATAACTAAAAATACAAAACGATTTTAATTAACAGAAACACGTAAACACATTTTTAGTTGTAAAGTACAAGAGTTATGAGACTTTTAATCGCGCCCTATATGTTTTGGTCTGAATATTTGATAGAAGAAGTAACAACAACAAGAAATTATAAAAATAACTCACAATTCGAATACTCTACTTTGTTCAAACCTACTCGTTTCAGTATACCATGACGCTCCAGTGAAAACATCAGTCATGATCTTACCAATGTCTCAAAAAACCAAATCTACATCGATATTGTAGTGTAGATCTTAAGAAGGTTATGATGAATCATTAAGATACTTTAGAACATATACCGAAAGCAAAAGTCCAACTCTCAAGCCTATTTATCTCTTGTAAAGGGGTAACAAGTTTTGGCTCGTTCATTCACCTCATTTTTGTTAGATATATTAGCATGATCGTGTTTGAGGTTAGATCAGTCTCAAGGAGCGATCACTCTCTGAACAGCTCCGTATAATTTCAGATCACATTGTATTACTAGTGATCACAGAAGTATGCAATGAGTAATGCTCTCTTCTTCCAAGATTAAACCATCTGATTTCATTGATAGAGTTGAAAATATGCTTAAGATTTATCCCAGATAGATCCTCCATGTCTGACGGAAAGGGAGTAACAAAGTAATACTCTCTGTTGTCGGTAAATGCCTAATGACTAAGTGTCAAGTAATTACTGATAATAGCATTTTTTTGCGCTCTTTGCGCGATCACGTAATCGTGATCTTAACCCATCATATAGAGGAGGAATCTCGAAGTCTGACTGGAGACTTTTCATACAGTTTATTTTAAAGGAATGACTTACAATTGGATACAGAGATACCGGTAAAGTTGATTTCTAATTCATCAGCTTTATCCTGGTATTTCTTATTATCAGGAAGCCATACTAGCGATATCCTAAATATCGCAAAGACATCCGATAGATATCTATAGGATTAGCTATCAGTATTTAAACAGCCAGTTCTCTGCTCGTCTAATAGCAGATATTTCTTGGATATTCTGAAGTATGATTCAATGAATAAACCCACACTTCCACTTTTCTTGTTACTCTTAGGGACGGGTGAGCCTCTGAAAGCTAATGCCGTTTTGAAATCCACGTGAAATTGAAATATAGTTATGCGAAGTATTTTATAATTCTTGCGCTCCTATTATTTCTACAACCAGACCACGAACCTCAAGTGTTCAGTCTGACCACAAAGTTAAGAGCAAGTGGGCTAGAGAGTTGAATATGTGGTGGGTTACATAGGGACCCTGTTCTGATGCTAAGCATATATTTTGCTTTGCGTGGCAGGTTCTTCTCTATTTCTGCTATAGACGGTGGGCATTCTCTGTGAATAACGTTCGAAATGGCTGTATACGTATTACGATCCAAGACATGCCTAGGGAGAGCATCCAACTGTGTCATGTTAAAGTTGGAATGATTCCTCAGGTAACATTGTTACTTTCCATAAGCCAACATTTTGTCAGCTTCGAATTTTTCCACTGGGTATTACTCAGCGAAAGGGGACTGGTGCAATTATGCTCCTTGTTAGCTCCAAGTAAGTAACAAGCTAACAAGGTTTCTGTGTCCATACCGGCTAGCGCTTTCTACTTCGAAATTAGTGCGTAATTGTAGTGGCAAAAACTGCTACAGTATTTAAAGATCAGTTCGCATTTGTTGAAATTCTGCTCCGGAAGATCAAATCGAAGCTTGACGATGGCAGAATATATTTCATTTATTGATCGATCTGCATGGTGACATGACAAATGCGTCTGAATCATATAAACCGATGTCTAACATTCCCTTCAGATTGGGTTTGACCTCGACTGGTGTTTTAGTTTCTAAAGAATGAACCTTCCGTGATACAGAACTGTATATATGACATTCCCCAAAACTGACAGTCACCATAATATTCCGGGTTTTAAGTTAGGATAGCTGTTCATCAAGCATAGGTTCGAAGAAACCCCACCCAACGACCTATACCTTCAAATAAGAAGTTGAAACATCGAACAGAGTTTTATCAAAAATATTCCTTGTAACCTCACTCCGCGTTAAAACGAAAGCACGCGTTTAATGAAGACAATGCTTAATTTAGAAACAGTTATACTAAGTAATGCATTAAATTAGTGCGAATGAAATATAACTCAGTTGAAAGCACGGCAGCAAAAACAAGCCTTACCGTTCTTTAACAATAATGGCGATGATGCGATGACTTAGTCCTGAATTATGACTGATGCTAATATAGAAGACTTAGTGCGAGTTAGACGTAACTCTGTCGAAAACTCTGCAACAAACCTAATTGTGCTTAAAAAATAATGACTCAGACCTGAATTACGACTGATCCTAATATTGAAGACTCAATGAGAGTAAGATGTAACGTTCTTAAAAAATAATGGCAACGACTCAGACCTGAATAACACCTGATGCGAATACTGAAGAATCTTGGTATTCAGAATTTTCTTTTTACTAAAAACGATTGCATCGAGTTATTGTAATACTATTTAGATTCATACATGGGAATTTTTCATTAAGCATTAAAATTTCATTACCATTTATAGAAAAAATTGTAATGAAAAATATTTTAAGTACCATTTAATGAAAATTATATTTTTTTCATAACTTTTTTTGATAATGGTAATGAATTTGATAATGAATTTTCAAAAACGAATTTAATTAGTATTTATAATTGTCGAAAAATATATTAAGGAAAATTTTTCGAAGATGTTTGGTTTGAAAGCCAGTTCCCGTAGCCCAAATTGAAATTTTGCAGTCATAAGTACATCTGATGACAATACAATAATATGTTCGAATATTCGAAATTAAGTTCGAAAATTCGAAGTTATTTTCGAAAATTTTTTTATGTTTTTAAATTAATCTATGTGTCATAAAACCTAAAAAAAAAATTTCGAAAATTCGAACTCGTGTTCGAAAAATTTTTAAAGCTGTTAAAACTAGTTCTTCTAGTCCGAATGTGCTGAAATTTGGCATACATGATTTCACCTAATGACAATACATTATAATGTTCGGATATTCGAAATTAATTTCGAAATTCCAACTAATGTTCGAAAATTTTGAAAATCCATTGAATAATGGTAATGAAAATTTATTTTTAAATAATTACTAATGAAATCGTTTCATTAAAAACCATTACCATTAGACAAAATAATGCTAATGAAAAAAAAAAAATAATTATAATTTTTTTCAATTTAATGCTAATGAAATCGTCAATTAATTAGTCGATATAATTAACTACTCCCATGTATGTTTAGATTTAAACAAGTGCCGAATTATTGAACATATTACGAATCAGATTAGTGGATACGATAACTTGGATGACTAAAAGTGTGTAAAGAATTTTTTATTTCGGACTAGTCAAATACATGTACTTTAAACGTTAAATTCTTAAATTCCTTTAACAAATTTTTCATAATTTTTTGTTTATATATGTTAGGAATTTAAAATTATTTTAATTTTACTTTAAATTAACCAGTGAATTAACCATGTAAGCATTTTGAACGTTTCTATTCTATTTTTATTAAAAAATTCTATCTAAAAGTTTTATTAAATTTTCTCTACTAACTTTACTTTCTTTCTATTTAAAAAAAAATTTTCTTCTATAAATCTAAAATTTTCACTTTGTCTCAAAATGTCGTTACTAACAAAAAGTTTAAATAATTTTAAGAACTGATTTCTTTAAATGGTACTTAATTAATTATATATTTTAGCTAGTAAGTATATTAAAATATAACAAATTGTTTTCAAAAACTAATTGATAAATTGTTCTCTTACACAATAATATTATTTAAAAACAAGAAAAAATTTTATTAAAAAACAGACGATTTAAAGTATTAAAGCACTTTTAAATGCAATTTCATTATACATACATACATATATACAAAGAATAATGTGAAAATAAAATTAAAATATAATTGTTATTATTGTTTAATATTTAATTAATTATAACAAAAAGGCATGATTTAAAGTTTCAATAAAATGTTAAGAAAACAATAAAATAAAACTTAGTTTTTCTTATTCAACTGTTGTTTCAATATACTCAATTGGGTCAAGCAATTATCACGATAATTTCTGCGTTCAGCCAATTTATCCAGAGGCACCATTTGTTCCAGTTGCTTAGCTACCGCCACAGCAGTGGGTCCTTCCATTTTGGGTGTTGGATTAAAAGTTTTACTAACAGCATAAATGGTATTGGTATAACGTTCAAAATAGTTAGTCATGCCTTCGGCATTAAGATGAGCTGTTTCTAGGGGTCCCAAGAAGGCATAACGCATACCCAAACCGTCTGACATAACACTATCAACATCCTTAACATCGAGTATACCATCGTTAACCAAATGCCAGCATTCGTTAAGTATGGCGTATTGTATACGATTGAGAGCGAAACCTTCTATTTCACGGCTCAATGTTACGGGTTTCTGACCGATTTCTTCCATAATAGCACGAGTTTTGGTAACAACTTCTGGTTTAGTCCAGGGTGCGGGTACTACTTCAACTAGGGGTACATAATAGGGTGGATTTACGGGGTGAGATACGAGGACCTGTAATGTAGGATGGAAAACAAATAAGTTATTAAACGGTAAATATGTTTATAATAATTTCTTGATATATTATAATCCATAAAATGCGGAAGATGCTGTGGTCTAACAAGATTAAAATAGCGAGAAAGTTTGAATAGAAAGACTGAAGGAAGAGAGGTATGTAATAAGACTGAGGCCCAAGATACCCGGCCTAAGTATGGTTAGGTTTATGAGCAGCTGCTTGTCAAAAAATCGGTACAGCTTTACTTGGGTCCGGATTGATCTATTTATAAAAATGCTTAGAAGACTATAGATAAAGGCAGAGTGTGGATTGAAAGATAAAGGGGGAAAGGAAAAAGGAGAGACGAGAAAGAAGGGGAACTTAAATACAGACCTAGTGCAGTAAGTTAAAATTTCGAGTTCACACCCAATTTGACAAATTCAAAAATGAATTCATCGTTCTAATAAAACATCGGATATATCATTGAAGTGACCCTGAGATCTAACAGTTTCTAGGACTTGACTGTAACAAAGAAGATGGACTACCTATTCTCCTCTTATCCTCATTATGACAACGTCTGGAGAAGTTATTATACGGAGCAGTAATATCTGATAACAAATTAACTAATTGTAGTCTGTGATAACTGAAGGAGATAGACAGTTTTGCGTGGATTCACACGAGACGAAAAGAATCTGGTAATG